AGACGGAACTTCCTGTGCTTCAGTTTGTGCCCATTGCCCCTTGTCCTGTCACTGGGCACCACTGAAAAGAGCTTGTCCCCATCCTCCTGACACCCACCCTTCAGATATTTGTAGGCATTTATAAGGTCCCCTCGCAGCCTTCTCTTCTTCAGGCTGAACAAGCCCAGTTCCCTCAACCTCTCCTCGTAGTGGAGATGTTCCAGTCCCCTCACCATCCTTGTAGCCCTCCGCTGGACTCTCTCCAGTAGCTCTTCATCCTTCTTGAACTGGGGAGCCCAGAACTGGACACAGTACTCCAGATGAGGCCTCACCAGGGCAGTGTAGAGGGGAAGGAGAACCTCCCTTGTCCTGCTGGCCACACTCTTCTTGATGCACCCCAGGATCCCATTGGCTTTCTTGGCAGCCAGGGCACACTGCTATCAGCCGTGGTCCTTTTTGCACGGGCTGTGCCATGCACGGCTGGGGTATATGGCTCAGCAGCAGCACTAAGCAGCTTGATTCTCTTGCAGGGATGAGTTTTATGACAGCCATAAACACAGATTAACACCAGCAAGAGCTTTCGCAAGTGGGGACGGCCACCTGTGCTAAGGAGACTTGGGCCATTAGGAGAAAGACGCTGTGAACACGCTGCTTTTGCACAGGAGGAATCCACAGGGCGAGGACGTAGGAGCACAGAGCAGTCAGCTCCAGGCAGGTGAGCTGGAAGGTCTCACCAGAATCAGCTCCCGGCTGGGGAGCCACAGGGATACCGGCACAGAAGGCACGCTGTGAAGCCTGCAGAGACCAGAACGCCAGTCTGCTCTCAGAGTATGACTTCACCCACATCTTGTCACAGCAGCTCCATCAAGTCACTCGCCAGGAGCTGCCAAGAGCAACAGGAGCTGCGAACTGTCACGCTGGGTCGTCCCACCCCAGGAATGGGTACAGCAAAGAAAGGGCAAGTGCAGGGTCCTGCCCCTGGGGAGGAACAACCCCAGGCACCAGTACAGGCTGGGACGGACCTGCTGGAGAGCAGCTCTGCGGAGAGGGACCTGGGTGTCCTGGTGGACGACAGGGTGACCATGAGCCAGCAGCGTGCCCTGGGTACCAAGAAGGCCAATGGGATCCTGGGGTGCATGAGGAGGAGTGTGGCCAGCAGGTCAGGGAGGTTCTCCTTCCCCTCTGCTCTGCCCTGGTGAGGCCCCGTCTGCAGTGCTGTGTAAAGTTCTGGGCTCCCCAGTGCAAGAAAGATGAGGAGCTACTGGAGAGAGTCCAGCGCAGGGCTACGAGGATGAGGAGGGGACTGGAGCATCTCTCCTACGAGGAGAGGCTGAGGGAGCTGGGCTTGTTCAGCCTG